ATTATATAACTATTGTTAAATATTTTAATATTTTAATATTTATTAAAACGTTTTAATTTTTTCTTTTTCTTAATAAAATTATAAGATCTCCTTTCTCTTATTGGAGGCAGATCATTCTTATTGGATATTTGATAATTAAGTAGATAGATTAAGGAGAAGAGAGTTGAAATATAATATCTAATATTCCTTCCATCAAATGGTTGGTATTTTTAATTTGTTATAATTTAAATTATAAAATATTAAATATTGTCCTCATCACATTTTTTTTAATGTAAGATCATGACACAATGACATGTGAAAAGCAATATATAAATTTTTAAAAAAGTGGTTATCAATTTATGTTGTAAAAAATTATGTAAAAAAATATTTTAAAATTATGTTATTTTAATAAAATTTAATTGAAAAAAATTAAAAATATCTTAACGCTTCAAGTATCAATGAAATTGTTTTAGTTTTTTTTTTCCGTAATATTTATTAAAACAATGTAATTTAATTTTTTTTTTAATTTAATTTTTTACAATCCAAGTTAATACCCATTAATCTTATAAATTTTTGCAAATCAGAAATTGAGTTTGCCGTTTGCTTGTCCATTTTTTTCATTAAAAAGAAGAAAAAAAATGGTTGAATTTGTCTGATTGAGTAGATTTGCATAACGGACAGACTGGATACAGTTCATTTTAAGGTGCCTGTGATTAATAATAAAATTTTGTGACGTTTCGTTGGTATTGAACCAGAATGGTGATCTTGCTGGATTACACCTACGGTCAAGGTCTTCTCGCCATGTGCAGGTGCGGCTCATAAAAGCAAAGGAACCAGATCTGTACAATTTTGGTGGACTATGGGATGTGTGTTATCTAATTTACTGAATTTTTTTTCAATCCATTTCAAATTGCACAATGAGGTAACTTTTGTTGGAGAAATAGGGGGTTAGAAAATAGATTACTGGATCATTGCCCTTCAAGGTGTGCTACAAATGTTAATTTTTTTTTTTTTTTAAGTTAATTTAGCTCCCACCAAATTTAATATGCGAAAAAGGTAACCTAAAATGCCCATAAAATATAACGAAACACTTTGTTGATCTAGTTTTTGCATTAACAAGATTAACAATTGAACCATCTTTTAGAAAGTGACAAAACAATAATTTTTGTATAGAGATTGCTCGAGCAATCGCAATACAAAAAGTGACTATTTTATTTAGATATTTTTAGGTTCAAAGACTCCACAAAAGAAGAAGAAATAACTCTATATTTATATGGTAAAATGTCTGTTGGAACAGATTTTTTTTTTAATATGTCAATTGGGAGCAGGCACTTCATCTCAATTTTTATTAGTTGAAAACTCTTCCAAAAATCATTTAGTTTGATTTGAATTTCAATTGATGTGTTTCCTTACTTTTCAAAGTTATCCACTCTCTTTATAAATTTATCATAATTTCATTTTTGATTTCTGACGTAAATGGTTCGAACCACAGTTATATGATAAGAGCCAAAATCGTAACTTTTCAGATTTTGGTTTTACATAAATGGATCGAATCTTAATTATATGATTTGAACCATAATTACACTTTCTCAAATGCATTCTGTGCAATTGTTTCGAATCAACTTTTTATGGTTTGAATCCAAATCCTAGAACTATTTTGAAAATTCTTCAACATTCTACTCAAACTCATTTCACCTACATATCTAAAATT